AAAAGGAACTTACCAAGGCCCACTTTCAAATTTGTAGTTCACTCTTTCTGGATCTGAAAATCTGTGATCTATGAAATACAGCACAAGTTATTTTCTTTTTCCTCAGCATACAGGACAGGCAGGAAAAAACAAAAAAGCAGAGAAACTAATTCATCACAATCACTTACTGTATGGTTCAGATATTAGTGTTAAAATAACATTGCCCATATCTTCAACTTGAGAGGCTCCATACGGAAACGCTGGACTGCTCTTGTCAAGATTTAAATCTTTATGCTGGAGTTAAGTCAATCACCACCAAACAGATTTCTAATTGGCTTCCTGCTAGAGCAACAAGCTTTCATGTCATCCTCGATGGCAAGTCACTTCTCAGGGGAAGATTTAATTCATTTTTCTGCTGGGATACATTAGCTGTTCTGCCTTGGCCTCTAACTACTGCCACCTGCGGGAGTGTGAGGTCACTCCAGAAAGTGTCTGGGGACATAAGAACCCATAATAAGGGCATATATATTTAATATACTCATGTATTATGTATGTTTGACAGCCAGATACACTTTTGCATGCAACAGAGACTGGAGTCCTGTCCTCTTTAATTAAAATCTTTAATCTCTAGGGGAAGATCTGGGGAAGGAAGAGAAGCAAACCATCAACCAGAAGCTCCAGAAACAGGAGGATACACCACATGCTCTCTGAACAAGTAAATCCCAAAGTCGAATAAATACCTTACGCACCACTGATGAAATTCACAGATAGCACCTTGCCTAAACCTTGCCTATGAGAAGTTACAATCCAAGTTTTGTGCTGTTACACAGAAGCATGTTGAGAACCTGGTAAGAGACCACCATTGTAGATAACCGAGAGACAAAACAGAGTCCCACAACCTGTATCTTCCAAAAATTCTTTAGATCAAAGAAGATGATAGCAAGGATAAGGTCTCCTGCCAATAGAGAGCAGGAAGTGTTCTGTCCTGGAAAGACAGGCTGTAAAATAACCAGATAAAAACCCCAGGTTCATAAAGGGAGCTTGATTTAAGTTGCACCAACCATCTTTTGTTCACACAATTAGAGTTTACTATGGTGTCTCTGCTGCTTCCTCTCATATTTGCCCCTCTCTAACACCAGGCTATAGAAATATAAGATTACTTGAAACTCTGCTCCATCATTTATAAAGCAAGTTTTTAAAAAGGTCTTTGCCACTCACATCTCATTCTTTGAAGACTGTAGGGTAAAAAACCCATCAAGAATAGAAGTGAAATATATAGGAGTCTGGGAATAGGACTTGCTTTTTTGACTTCTATTATCACCTTGCATCAAGACTTCAGAGCAAAAGACCTATCCTGGCACAGCAGTACAGTAATGCCAGACATTCAAAACAGTCAAATGCACCAATTATTTGCCCACATCCCCAGAAAAATACATTAGACACATTTCAAATGCCCAAAAGAGTGTGCATTTTGGTGCTCAAAAGTTGCTTCTCAGTTCAAGATAGCAAGGTTCCTCTTAAAAAAAAAAAACTCTCTATCTAGACCAGAGCACACTTTGAGTTGGCAGATGCCTACAAGAAGGGCAGGGCACCAAAGAACAGCTTCTCTTAGAAACAGGCACCACACACCAGCTTTGTCATATCATCTCGTCAACAGGGGAGACAAGACAAATTTCACTGTGAAATAAAGTCTTCCCTATTATGTGCGGGATGACTGAAATTGTTTTTGAAGTTTAACTGTTATCTTGTTGTGAGAAGAAAAATAATTTCAACTGAATTAGTGCATTCTTCTTCCACAGCAAGGAAAGGAGAGCTGCTGTGACAACACAATACACTTTGAGGCTAATTTGATTTTGAGGCTTTGTTGGTTTGAAGTGTGCATCGGAGTATGGAAGGTGAAAGGATGGAGGTTAGTCATACAAGAACATTTGAAATTGAATTATCATAATTTAAAAACAAGAAAACTTAAACCAGTGATCCCACCCCTCCAACTGCTTGAATAAATACAGTCTGCTAGCCATTGCCATTACTCCAAAGAAGGTACCAAGAGGGAGGGTAAAGTAGTAAGAACATTACATGGTTTTCTTAAAAAAACAAGCTAAAAATCCTGAACAAGCCACATGCAACAACCCAAAAGCACGGTGTAAGAGACTATCAGTATTTATTACAAGAAGAAACTTCTTCATTGCAGTTCTCTTCCTAAGCTGTACACTCAAGCTCATCTCCTCCCTTGCCCCCCAGGGAAGAGGGGGTTGAAAAGAAAAATAATCCACAAACAGACTTCCTTGCAGAGACGGTGCCTAATCAGCACCACACAGATGCTTCTGGGCATCCCGTCTATCAGAGCAGAGGAGCACTTCTCCTGCTTTTCCTGACACCCTTCCCCCTGCAACATCTAAGAGCTCCATGCTGTGCTTGTGGGGAGTCTCTGCTGGTTCCAGGGAACCAAAAGCTGCTGAAGACACAGTTATTGGAACCCTGGTCTTGCCTGATCATTTCTCAATGGAGATTTTGGAAATGTTCTATTTCCTCTGTCAAAGTCAAGAGAAACTGGGCAGGAGTTTCAATAGCTATTATGGCAGGGGATGTGCCTATACATGTGCACACACACACGCTTGGCTCTTACACTGTGCTGTCAGAACTAAAGAGACACTTCAATATTTCCTTTTTGCGGAGCCAAAGATCCCTACAGGTGATCAGTTGCCGGAGAGGGGAATGCAGCAGTGTGAGGGGCTGGGAATTTGAAGTAATGCTATCACACAAGGAAAACAAACAACTTCCCCACCCACATTCATTTTCTTCAGAAAACATTTTCATTGAAAGTACTGATCAACAGCAGATATAGTTCCTAAAAATGCCCTAGTGCCAACAGAAGTTGGTACCAGGTGTTCAGACACAAGGAGTCAATTGTGCCAAGGAAATCTAGATTAATATAAGCACAGTGGGAGGGGAGGAGAAAGCCACCAGCATTAGCAGGAGGGAGAAATCACTCACACATTCACCTCTAATTAGCTAGACGCAAGGCTTTTAGGCAAAATTGGAGAAGAAAACTGATGGTTTTCTGCACAAGGAGCATGTCAATAATAGCATTAACTAAGTGAAAACCTGAATTCTAATGAACAAGACTGACTACATACAACTAGACTCCTATGAACAGAGACACCAGAAAATATGGATGCTTGGGAAAAAGCTGTTAATGGAATAGTCTTTATAAAACCCACCCCCTCTTCTGTGAGGGGTTAGGAGACCACAGGTGTGTTTATGTACAGTGATATTTAAGTGTTGCCTCTCCTGGGCAATTGGAAAGAGTTGATTGCAGTGGATAAAGCCAAGTTCACATTTAAAGATGTGCTAGAAAACAGACCTGGCTGTCTAAAGCTGCTATATGCAACAGCATGTGCACATATATTCTAAATGAAGCAATGGGCAAAAGACACTCCCAAATAACAAGTCAGGATGGGAAACAAGGAACTTCTTAATCTTGCTGCACAGCTGCAGTACCTCCTGCAACACTCAGGAAGTTAGTAAAGGGGGCGGAGAGGAAGGTATAGTCTACATTAGGGTTGCCTACATAATATGGAAGAAATTTCTAAATCATTTCCTGAGATTCATTACCAAAGCTTCACCCACTGCTAGTGCCCTCCAAGACTTCTTCCCTCCTACCGTCTCTTCCATTTCTCAGTCTCTCAACTATGGCAGAAGAAATACTGAACAACTAACTTAGCTGTGAGAAGGCATGACATGAAATAGTATTGCAAACAGGTTCTGCGCTGATCCTCTTCCCACTTTGTTCTGTTTTTTAAGCCTCTTCAGGCAGAAAATTATATCTTTTTAAATACTACTTTGCATAAAGGTAATCTGATATTACCCAGTTACTATCACAAGAAATACAAATAGCAATATGCAAGATTCTCAGGTAATACCCAATAACAGGCTTTTTATTGCCAGAATTAAGTACTATGTGTTGTAACTGTGCTCCACATCATTATTTAAGACACTCAGGTTAAAAAAAATAAGCAAAGTTTCAGTATTGCAGTATCCAGCACATGAAGCAGACTGTTATGAAGGATGCCTCTGTTTCTATTGACAACATCCAGCCAATACTCCTGGTAATATCCTCACAAACCCAGTTCAGAAGTGAGTGGAGCAAAGCAAGTGCTGGAGGAAGCGAGAGCTATTCGCCATTTAATGGCTTCTGCACACCCAATCTTGAGGCAAAGGATGAGTCTTCGTCAGACCTAATAGGAATAGTCATGCAAGCTTTGTTCACTCCACCCTGAAGGCACTCACAGCACTGAAAACTGGCTCAGCAAGCTTTGCAAACCAAGAAGTGCAGCAAGTATGGGAGGTACAGAGGGTGCAAGAACAACCCTGCTCCTTTTGTATACTTACACACATTAAAAAAAAATTGACAGACCTGAGTCCCTTTCTCTGCCAGAACACGATCACTTCTCTCAAGTTCTTGTTACTCAAAATTTCTCATAATTGTCCTGCTGTCACTACCCTTACACAATACTGACTAAAGAAAGGCTGCCAGAAGACTGTCTCCTACACCAAAAACTTTTTTTTGCAACTGTAAGTTGGGCAGCAGTAGCACTCAGATAACAGTTACAACTAGTCTTGGTTCTTCCTTGGTCGCTCAAGTTTCATGGTGTTTTAAACATTTCCTTACCTTGAATTAAAATAAATCCTTGGCTGTTTGTACATAATTTTTTTTTTTTTTGGGGGGGGGGAGGGTGTGGCAATATAAAGCTTTCACCTGAGCTCTTGGATTTAGAATGGTTTCATTGCTGTACATTATTTCAAGTAGTTTGCTGAAAGAGTAAGTCCCAAAAGTACTCTCTAAAGGAAGAATAATGAGCTAATTATTTGGTTTAATATCTCTGTGCTCTTTTTCAGGATTGTGCTTGCCTTGTCCACAAGAAATACATACCCAAGCACCAACTATCCACTGTGTTATATGCTGGAATATATATCTTGAATGACTGTGTAATAGGAAGTTACCTCCTCTAACTGTTGGAAGCAATAGAGTACATTCTTCATTTGCCTATAATTTGTTGTTTAATCAAATGTTACCCATTAATAGAAAAGCTTCTGGAAGACTCCTAATGATCTAAATGACTGTACACTAATACACAGCTTTCCCCTAACTCTTTCATTTCACACAAGTTTCCTCTCACTGATCACAACTATTTTACCTGCTGGTAAGTGGAGATGTAAGCACATGAAGGGATGTGCCCAAAAATAATTCTACTCCTGCTCCTACCAGTTTGTAAATGCAAGTCTTCTGCATCTCTAGTCGGTACCCTACTCCCAAACCAAAGCATTCTGTCCCCACCGAATACTAACAAACCTGGCCCAGTGCGGTTTGTGCAGCACAAATCATGGAAGATTTTCCTCATGCAGCCCCTTTAGCTACATGGTGGAAGATCTGCACTTTCTCTAAGTATAATAAAAGCTTGGTCAGATTCTGTGCACTAATCTGCAGTTTCATCTCCATTTGTTTTCAATTTGTTCTTATGTCTCCTGCCCCACGACACCCTTTTAAAATCCAAGTTACTTTTCATTTAGGTATTTTCTTTTCTTTGCTACATAGCTGTCTCAGAAGGAAAGTAGCCATCCCAATTAAATAAAGAAGGAAAAAAAAATCTCTGCACAAAACTGTTAGAACTAGTCTTTAGGCTTAGTACCTGCTTCAACTTTTTTATCCCAAACATTACATGCACATCCAGACTCTCCAAATGCAATTAACTTACACAGCTTCTGACACCAAGGAGATTAAGTTAGTACATTTCAGCAAGGTGAGGAGGAAGAAAATTACCAGATTTCTCAACAAAAGCAAAACAAAATTATTTTACCTTTTTGGTCTCTGCATCCTCCACCCCCAACACTCTCAAGCAATACAGGGCCGAGACAGTTAATTTCAGCCATGTGGCATAAACATAGCAAGTTTACAAATAAGAACATCAGCAGTTACAAAACAAGACAAACCACCAAGATTAAGATAAAACCAGAATGAAGTTATTTAGGTTTATATACCTTACGAAGCGTATCAGATCCAGAATTCAGACTCAAGCTCAGACCATTTGGCTAGACTAACTGAGCCTCTAGGAACTTTGAAGAAATACTACTGGCAACTGCCAGAACCACCCTGAGATTGCAGTGACTCTTTAGGGGCTTCCTGACAGTAAGGCAGGGAGGTCTGCTGCCCTCTCCCAGCAGGGAGGGAGTACAGGCTGTCACTCTGCTTTAGCTGACCAGTGATGCTCCAGGTGGCTGCACCTGTATGACTGTTTCCACAGTGACAAGACATACATCAGACATTCACACAAGGAGAAAGCAAAGGCATCTCCTAAACAGCCAAAGTAGCTCATTGTCTTTAATTCTCTTCTCCAGCTCATGTCATTTGACCATAGTTTTTGACCATAAACCATCATCCAGCTTCTAGACTATGCAACACGGGAATTTTTTTAGCTTTTCTACATAAAAATTCACACTCCTACAGTAAGTGTACCACTTTGTTTCAGAGTAGAGGGAGAAGCAATTTCTGCCCCTTCACTATGGGAGATTAATCTTAATTTGCAGATGGCAAAGCAGAGCAAACAGCCTCCAGTATTCAACCTTATGGTGAAGCACAAAAAAATCCACACATACATAGATATTTTATGCCCCCCACCCCCCTAACACAGGTACAAAACCCAGGCAATACTAGTCCTGCAGCAAAAGGCCAAAAATAATTCAGAAGCCACAGACCTTTGTCTGAGAAGTACCAGCTCTTAATGGTAAGCACTCTACGGACACAATAAGCTAGTCAAAGGAAAAAAGTTATTAAAAACAATACCAACAAAACACAATATAAAATATAAAATACTCTCAAAACTGGCTCTATTAATTGTACATGGCATGCAAACACAACCGAGCAAAGGCTAGTAAAGGGACAGACAGGACTAGGTTACAGACCACTTTCGACTATCCAGAAAGTAATTTTAGACATCCTCATCACTGAAAATGGACACATTACTGACTGCATCTCATTGCCAGCCCAGCCTCACCTTGCAACGTGTAACATGTACAACTTCCATGAGACTGAATACCACGTGTCAACAGCATCCCTGCCTTAGGTTCACTCCTGAATCAAAAACTCACTACAAGTTCACAAGTTGACATCAAGAATAACCATTCCTCCTCCTAAAAAATTCAGATGGTCTCCCAACATTCATTCTTACCTAAAAGTAAAATACAAATCTAACTGATGCAATGAGTAGCCTCACAACTTCAATATTAGGATTAATATCAGCGATTTGAACAAATATGCTAGTTACACTAAACTGTGAAGTTTAAAGAGACAAAACTAGACAGCTAGTAAAGAAAATGTACAGAAATAAATACAGGATTTTCCCCATGGAGCATAAATCCTCATGTGTTTTTATCTCTATGTTTGTGAGAAAGCTCAGTATAGCTCCAAGTCACTCATTAAAGTTATACCAGCCCTAAACATGCTCCAAGCATTACTCACCCACCTCTGTTCTAAAACTCAGACAAAGCTGTAGCAGCAGCAGATGCCATCACTCTAAAAAGGATACATTCTGTCATGGTCACAACATCGAGTTTGCTAACGTCAGGTGAGCCAGGGCAACACTTCTTGAACTCTTTCCGCAAGTCAAAAAAGGAGTAGAAGCATTCAGGCAGTAAGATATTCTGTAAAAGGACAAAGTAACTACTGTCAGCTAAGGCGAGTTTAATCTACTTTGTCTTTAGATACCAAACTTTCTAACAATTTCCTTATAGTGGGTAGGAAACACAAACAGCTTTTGCTACAAACTCACATAGCTCTTCTTAGCAACATAAGTCTGTTTAAAACATTTTTGCTTAAGTAGCTTCCTCCCTATGTGGTTTAAAAAGAGAAATGTGCTTTTTCACTGCCAGAGAAACATTTGCTATTATTACTAGTGCCTCAAATCCAATATGGATGTAGGAGAGCAAACGCCTGATATTGCAACATTTATCATCAATTCTTGATTCCAATTTTAACTGTAAAAAGCCAAAGAGCACTCAGTTCAGTTTATAGAGCCAAGCAAATTTTGCAAGGCTAGCAGAAGACATTTTGGTTTATAGACAAGGCTGAGTTTTCAGAGAAGAGTTACACTTCAAATATTTATTCCCTTAACAACACCACCACCAAAAAAAACCAACAGCAGAAACCCCAATTGTGTCCAGATGAGGGTTTCATACGGTGCAGAGGTTGTCAGTCCGTGCACGGTAACTGCTTTAACTGCAGCATTTGAAGCCAGGAGTAAGCTACGTAGCCCACTGCAGGTCAATAAAACCCTTTTCACCCCACCACTACATCTACCACATGCTCTTAATTTTTTGGGGGGCGAGAAGGAAACGGAGAAGACTTGGGGGAAGCTGTTTAAGCCAACACAAACCCCTACTCCTTCAGTTGGCTCTTTACCCCAGAGCTTCCCCCCACAGACACAACACTTCACACTCCACTTGGCTGTTTGTTGGCAGCAATGCCTATCTAGACCAAAAGTAAGGGCTTTCTCCGATTTAATGGCTAGTTAGCATCTTGGCATTATAATAGAAAGACAGGATATGTGAAAGCACACTTAGGGAGCCCAAAGAAAGAAGTTTAGGTTCTAAAACAAGTTCTGCTTTGAGAACATTAGAGCTTATCTTTACATATGGACAGGTGCATTATGCAAACAATACTCTTTAAAGACAAACTTATGAAAATGCAGGTGTGCTTGCCAAGATTTCCTGCCCTGGTTTTAGCATGGCTATTTTTCTTCCTTAATGAGAGATCAAGTTCTGTACTTGACTGACATTCCTTTGGAACAGCTGATGCCAATTCATTATCTGAATACTGTGAGGTGCTAGATTGGTTCAGACTGGGCATCTTAAAAGAAATAAATATATTCACAAGAGCCTAGTGATGTCCACCTATCTGGATTCTAGTGGTCCTCCACCCCAACCTCAGGGTTAGGGCATTCACCAAACTATTGCAGGTCTCATAAGCTTACCTCATCTATAGGCAGCACAGAGCACATTTCAAATTAATAATTCTTAGCAAAAGAGCAACAGAAGATTTTGACGAAGATTTGATTCCTATCAGTGACCCTGTAGAGCCTAGTGATTTCCACCTATCTGGATTCTAGTGGTCCTCCACCCCAACCTCAGGGTTAGGGCATTCACCAAACTATTGCAGGTCTCATAAGCTTACCTCATCTATAGGCAGCACAGAGCACATTTCAAATTAATAATTCTTAGCAAAAGAGCAACAGAAGATTTTGACGAAGATTTGATTCCTATCAGTGACCCTGTGATACTATAGAAAAAGGATGTCTGGCCCCTGACACCAAACAAACTTAAATAATTGTTGGAGTTGTCCCCCCTTTTATCCGCATAATTTAACTGCATGGAAAGATTAACTGTGTAAAACACATACTCATTACAAGTGAGAAGAAAGTCTGTTAAGAAAACCTCTTTCCACATTTTCTCACATTATACTCCAAGACAAGTTAGATATATAAAGACTGTCCCTTCACTATGAATCCGTGTTTCTATTCTAAGTCTTCAAAGGTATAAATACTTAGAGAACCAACAAGCATTAAAACCAAACTCATCCAATATCAGTTTTTTTTAACAGCACAGACTTGCAGCAGTGTCTCTTCAAAGATGAAACAGCACATAGATGGGCACAGAGGTCAATCAGTTGCAAGGAGAGGAGACAAACAGCTCAGTTACAGAGCAATGCCTGCTCATAGCAAACCACAAAATGAGATGTTGTTAATATTGAAGCAGTTATTTCAGGTCTACAGACTGCGTATTGCTGCATCCCTATCACTAATGAAAAGTAGGCAGGACCTCATAACACTGTTAGCAATTTGGCAACTCTGAAGTTACAGAAAACTCTAGACTATGGGACTAGTCATCACTCTTAGCCTGCCTCAAACTACTGTTCAGCTCCTTACAAATAGGAGCACCACCCTTGGAGAGTCAACTGAATACACAAAGATTGAAAGTTGCTGAAGCTAAAGGTGAATGTAGAATTTCAAAAGACAGTTCATGATTAAGGTGGTTAACTATTTGGCAACACTTCCAAATCCCACTTGTTAACTCATTGTAGCTCCTACAGCTGTAGGAGCTAGGAATACTCTGTCAATGCACTACTCCTTTCTCAAGCACTTAAGAAAATCTTTCTTCTGATTTAACTTAAAAAGGCATCTCCAGACTACACATGCACAGGACATTGTCTATGCCTTCCACAGGGACAGCCTCTTTAGTCTGGTAAGCATGTTAACATACAGGCAATGTTTGTACTATGGATGTGTGGAAGCACTTCCATACTAAAGAGAAGTTGATCAGTTTTGCAAGAAAACATAAAGCACACTAAGGGTCAAACTTCAGCTACAATTACATACCTTTTTGGAAGCTTCAGGGTGCAGAACCTGCCTAATGTGCAACTGTCCATCGGTACAGAAACAGAAGGAAGTACCTACACCAATGTTCAGCTCGTTGCTCACGGACTGATTAAACTGAAAGCAGGAACAACAGAAGACATACATGTAAAAGAGATCAGAGTGGCTGCGTTAGGCAGTGTCATCAGCTGGTAAGGTGTTATTCCTAGGCAGCAGGAACATGGAGCTGGAATTCCTTTTTGTATGAGCCTAGTCCTTCACTTCTTTAGATTAGTTTCTTACTAGCTAAGCACATTCTAACTTTCACGATAATTATCTTCATAAGGAAATTGCCCTTTTCCCCCCTCTTCTAACGAGATGTGGCCGCACAGTCCACATCACAGAACAAGTCCTTTTCCAGGAGCATTTGCAAA